ATTTTTTAAACAAATTTCGCTACGGTTGATAAGCGAGAAAACTAAAAATCTAAAATCTTTGTTATATTGATAATTAATTAATATTAATATGTATATGTCAGCATTCTTCTTTCTCTAATAATTCTCTAACAACCATCACTGGTTAAGCTGCTTCAACTGGCCACAAGGTACTGCGACGTTTCCCAGCCGCGCAGTCCAGGCCTTGATTAGCTTTTGACGCTACCAATTATAGGGATATGCAAGTAATGAAATATGCGCCAATTCCTGTAGTGGATGATGCGTTCTAACCAGCGAAGGCGACATTGCGATACAAGTGGTATTTGAGAAGAGGTGAATGCGACGATTAAGACGATTTTATTTTCTCGGCGAACCTCAGGACATGAGCAGCGAGAGACAGACAATTTTTTAGTATCTTCCACTTTCGTTGGCATATAGCAAGATTTCTTAGCGAGATTTATCAAGATCGAGGCAATCACAGCTATATAGCAGAAGCGGACTTTCATCTTTATGGTGATTTCACGATGGCTCCATAAAAGTTTCGTCAACATAAATCACCAGAATAAAGTCATTTTCTATTTGGGTTGGCAATAGTTATTGTTTGCATAGATCACCGATACTAACTTATAACTTATAAATCGATTGCTAATTTTTCGTAACATTTATATTAAATAGTAACGATAAATAGTAATAGTGATTTATATTAAAGTATTAGTAACGATAGTAAAGAAAGTTAGTCCATTTTGTTAAAACCGAAGGCAAAATAATTTTTAAAATATTTCGTGCTTTCCTTCTTAAAAATTCCTTCTTTCTTTTTGATCTTTTGCTTCCATTCATTTATTTTAACAAATTTTTTATTTCAGTCTATTATAAAATTTTTAAAATGAGTGAAAGCAGTCCGTCTTGTCGTCCTTGTAATAGAAGTGATCCACTCGTGCATTCAGTTCAGTCCCTACTGCTTAAACTACCCAAATCTAATTTAATGCCATTCAACGACATTTTTCCTCCAAAATCGAATATTATTCTACGAGTTCATCCAAAGAATTTGTTGTAAGAATATCCATTCAGTTGCGGCTTCAACAATTCATTGAACTCTTTGGGATTTCTTTCGATTATTTATGATTTCATATTTTCATAGCTTATCTAATCCAAAACCTTTTTTTTATTCTATAATTTCATTTGTTAAAATGTTTCGTTAAAGAAAGGCTTAATTGATAACTGATAGCTGATAATTTATACTGAAATATTTATTCCATTGAAAAAAAACTACCAATAAGCGATATAGTATTTCAGCAAACTGGATATAATTTCTATGAATAGGTTCCACTGTCACTCGGTTAATACCATCTATAAGCTCAGATAATCCTTAAATTCTGGGATCTGATTGCATATTTTTTCGAGATCCTTTGGCTTTAACGTATTATTTTCGGCCGACTTTCTTTCGGCACATTGCCTTCTTTTCCATGTTATATTCCCTAAGCTACCTTATGGTGTTCATATTGAAATAAAAAAAGATGTTCTATTTAAAAAAAAGGCTTTTATAGCGGAATGATTATTTGGGTGACACGCAAATACGTGTAGACTGCCCAATAGAAAAGTCGTTCTCAAAAAGTTCTTTCAAGAATTTTGAAATTACCTTTGATAGGACTCCATAAAAAACTCCTCATAGAATTTAGAACAAAATTTATCGGATGTTGTGGAAAATTATGAATTCCAAAAATAAATTTGACTTTATTTAATTTTGACTTGAAAACTTTGACATTTGAGTTTAATTTAACCTTATCACTTCGATCTTTTGCGATATCTAATCTCTTCTATTGTAATTTTTTCTCTTCTATCTCCCTTTCAATATTTATTTATTCAATTCGAATTTATACTGAATTATTTGTACAATATTTATATAATATAATAAATAATTATAATTGCCACTGCACGTTTCATAGTGTTTCGCTCAATCATTGTTTAGGTAAATGATTCAACATTAATTGTCCTCTATGGGACCATTCACTAAATAAAAAATAACTAAATATTAATAAATATATTAATAAATATTAATAAATAATAATTAATATTAATAAATATTAATAAGGCCAAATAAACAACAAAATTTTAAAAATCCAATATAAATATTTTAGTGGAATAACTGGAACCAGTCCAGAAACATCCTTAAAATAATTTGACTCACTAAACAAAAAGTTTTGAAAAGTTTTAGGCAATCGAAAAATTTTTCTAAATTATTAAAATTAATTCGTAAATTTTTCATAAAATATGGTTCGGAAAATTTATTTAAAAAAGCAAATAGTAAGCAAATAGAATATACCGTTGTTCTATATCTATCATTAAAAGTGAAATCCAGGTTTGTATAGATGAAAATCTGTTTTCCCAACTGACAACTTATACCATTTCAAATTTGGCTGGCTCCGCTGGCTATTACGATGGCAATTGGGCGGAAATATTTGGGATTTTTTAGAGGTACGAGTCAAGGAATAGAGCTATTCCGCACCTATCCTTGCTCTCAAAACATGTACACAATCCTCCTACAAGAGATTCATTTTCAATATACAAAAGATTAGATTACTGAAAATATTATGATGATAGCGTTCCATTTATTATAGATATCCGTCTGTTTTAATTTAATGTTCCCTCCAAAAATAAATGATGGTGAGGATTACATATCTGGAAGAATAATACGTGCCATTACTGCGGTAAGCCATCAGAAAAAGTTTTACAACTTACCCTAGCCAATTCATTCATCTATTAAATCTATTTATTCTTTCCATATAGAGTCCATTTCACCAGTCTCAGCGTCATTAACCATCTATCACTGACACTTCATAGAGTTCATTGGGGTAGCAGTTTCGCGAAGTACGAGAGTGGCATTAGGTTACAAGTCTGAGAACTCGATATAGAACAAAACATTACATCAATATTTATTTAATAATATAAATAAATAAATAAATATATGTTATATTCATAAATAAATATGGACTGGTAAATTTAGAAAAAAATATGGGCAGTACTTTGTATGAATTTTTCGAAAATTATTTCTCACAAAAAGCTTGAAATATGTTCAGGCTGAATAACCCAAGTTAGGGAATATCATCAATTTCCTCTAAAGAAGCTTAGGTTTATATTACATTAACAAACATTTCTACATTAAAAAAACGATAGCAAATACTCGAAATACTCAAATAACAAAATTAATTCCAAGTTGAAATTTTTCCCCAATTATCACCTATTTCCTCTTTTTTCATTTCTGTTAAGGATAGCATAAAAAATAAATAATGGATTTCAAATAACAATTTTAAAAAATTGAATGAAAAACATAAAACGCTTATAACGTCTTTAAATGAGCCATAAGCGATGAAAGATCTAAATTTGAATTCCCAGTAACTTCATTAACATTGGTTTCCTTCTCCTGCAATAATATTCCAAATAATAATATTAATATTTTTGAAACAAGTGAAAAGAATGAAAAAAGAATGTATTTTATAAGAAATAAATTCGCAGTATTGGAAACCAAATTATTCAGAACCAATTAAAAATTATTTTGAAGCGTTACATCTCGTGGTTGAGGTGCATCATAGGCATATTCCAAACCTTCGCCGAGTTCGACAACATTTTTTGTTGCTGGCGGAGCGGATGATTCATCCAACAATTCTATACCTGAAAATCATATCCATTATCTCATTTGTCTCTACTTCTTCTAAAAATTGTCACCACTGCTGATCAGACTGGCCAAAAGAAGCCATCCATAGTCCATATATCACTGGCCCATCTATATATTCAAAATTCAAAATCTTTTCTAGCTGTATTAGTCAAGATCTTGATTGGCCCCACCTAATTTTTGACGCAATCCGCCATAAGGCTTAACAAATAGCGAAATATGCATGAACTCCTGTGTTTGGCCAAGAAAAACGTGCTCTAACCAGCAAAGATGACGCTCAAAGTCTGGTTTAAATATTTCCTCAACCGGCAGTGATTTGATAAAAATAGGTTTTTTATTTGCTTCTTCTATACAACACGAAAAGACTCGTTTCATTTATATTGATCCTAGTCCGATCAGTTATACCATTGAAAGAAATAAAAAATCGTTTTGCATAAATTGATTTAAAATTTCATCAATACGAAAATATGTACAAAATTTTTGCCCTTCCAGAAATATTAAATATAAAGAATTCAAATACAAAAAGATAGTAAATAATATATACCCCATTCGTTATCTTCATGAACAACAGAGCCAGCTTCTGAGATTTCCTCGCGCTTTATTTCAGTATTCTCAATATTCGCAGTCTGTAATAATAGATAATATTAAAAATTCATTTGAATCTTGTCAGCAATATTATATTTATTTAATCAATATTCAGTTGCAATCGAGAAGCTACCATAAAAATGAAGACTCCAAGCACTTATATTTTTCCTATTTAAAGTGCTGTACAAAAAATTTTTATTAATTTATTAATTTTTATTAATTTATAAATGTAAATATTCCTGCTGTTAGAATTGTTTTCTCGACAGAAATAAATCGTTTAAAAATCCGGGTAGCGATAGCGCTTCTAACGTGGCCTTAATTCTATCGCTAGATGGCCCTCTTGCAGAATTTACCTAGTCTGCCAATACAGCGAAAACTTACCAGAAATAAATAACTCTTAGAAAAAGACAAAACAAAAAATAAAAACAAATGAAAATCCCATCTTATGCTCGGGTAGGAATTGTCCTAAACCTGCAAATCTCTCAAAATCTTATGCATTCTTTTAATAATCTCAAACATGAAGCTCTGGTATGCAACAGATCCTTATGATGGAGAAAATGGCCGAGTGAGAGATCATAATATTTAGAGGTCTCTGGACCTTGCTCCTCGCGAAAGCAAACATGCCAGGCATTCAAATACCAGGTGCTGGCGTTTCCTATGTTTCCTTTAAAGTCACTGGCAAAAACTGCCAACAGCCAAAAAAGCTAATCAAATCAAAAATTGCGATTCCACTTATTTACTTTGTAAACCTTCAAACTTTGCGCATTTCTTCCCCTAAAGCTCTTAGTTTCAAATTCTGTAATTTTTATGGATATTGCAAAAGCACAATATACTCAAAGTTCAATAGAGCGCTAAAAGGAACTAAATTGGATTTAGGAATGAAAAAATTGCAATAGGTCTAAAATTATGTCAATGCTAGATTGTTTCAGCAAATAAAATGATAAAAAAAACAAAAAGCAATTTTCAATTTTTGCCAAAAAAAGGAAAGAAAATTAACCTTATATTCCTGCTGTCGCCGCTGACAATAGGTATCATCGCAGTTGGGATTGGGCAAAATTTTATGGCGAGGAAAAAAATCGCACAATGCATTATAGCCAATATAATATGTGACTTCGCCAAAATTCAATAAATACCTGCATAAGAAATTTTTGAAAAAACGTCGCAAAATGGGAAAAAATCATAGATTTTTTGTTTTAATTGCATCGTTTCAAGGAAACAAAGCACTTTGGAAATTCTTTTGGTATCAAATTCCTCGATTAATATCACAAATTTTTTTTTATTAAAAAAAATGTAAGGAATGCAAAGGCTATACAAACTTGAGAGCATTCTGAGCAAGAAAGCTGGCTATAACTGCCATCGTCGTTGGAAGCGAAGCTGCACAAACTCCTTCTCGTTTCAGTGTACGCTCATCAATTTTCGATGCAACTATTAATGGTGGAACACACTTAATAATAATACAATTAATATAAACGATAAATAGGTCAAACAAATTCCCGCATTTCTCCAATGGAAAAAAAATCCAATGAAATAAAAATTATATAGAAAATTATATTATATAATGTATCATCAGCAAATATTATTATGTACAATAAAAATAAATACAAACCGCAAAACAAGCAGTGCGACCTGGTTCAATAAACTGTATATGTCCGGATACAGCATTCTCGCTCACTCCTGATTCCATCCATACTTGATCTTCCTCATTGCAAGCCTGCAAATAAACAAAGATTCACCACATTGACCAGTAAAAAAAAAAGCAAACAGGAAAAAGCATACACTATTAATAGTCATTCTCGCTTCATAATTATCAACGCAACTGAACACAAGATCCACTTTTCCACCAGTTAAATTTCCATTCCTGCAGAAAAATTGGTGATTATATGTATATATATATTATATTATATGATCACAATTTAATGAAAAGGTAAAATATTTCAATAAAAAAAAACTGACCTGATGATTTCGATAAGACTTTTGTAACCATCCAAACTTGTAACGTTCATATTATATATTTCAATAATTACATCAGGATTAATTAAACTATAAAGAAAAGAATGAAACCTGTCAAAAATATATTTGGAAAATTCTAAAAAATACAGTCAATTCATGCAATTTCGCAATTTCTATCCAAATGTAAATAACTAAATCTATATTTGTGATGATTTTTGCAAAAATCTGAATAAAAAAAAAATTAAAAAATCACTTAAGAATATGGCGAGCTGCATCAACTTTGCTATAACCAGAATGCTGAGGTTGGTAAAATAAACGATTCATATTGGCTAATTCAACCTAAAAATATAAAAATGACAAAATATATATAAATTGCGAGTATTTAAATAATTACTAATTATCTAAATAAAAGTAATTTTCTAAACTAATTAATTAATATTAATAATATTAATGTCAATATTAATAAAATAATAATTTTAATCAATAACAGTTTTCTGTTTGCATAATTATAATAATTATTCGAAATTATTCGCAAAATAAAGTTTTTATATATTTTTCAAAAGTAATATATTTTTCTAAAAAATAAAAAACTTATAGTGTTTACCGTGTCGTAATCGATGAGAATTAATTTACCGATGCCACAACGTGTAAGCATTTCGGCGACAACACTTCCAACGCCGCCAATTCCAACAACAATAATAGTTTTCGCTCGAATTTGCTCATAATTCTTAACAATTCCCATTCTTTTTAACGCCATAAGTCTACTGTATGGATTCGAATCTTTCACTTCATCACTCATCGTCTCTACAAAAAATTACAATAAATTCGAAAATTTAAATATTTCATTTTAAAACAAATAATTAACTATCAAACAATAATTATTTTGTAAGTTTTTAAATAATTTTTATGCATTTCACGTTGAATTAAAAATAAAATAAATAAATATTAAAATAAAAAATAAAAATTATTAAACTGAATTATTAAAAACCCAAAAAATTTAAAAGAATTTTTACAAGATAACTATTTAAATAAAATTTTTTTTTATTTTTAAGCAACATTTGAAGAAAGAAAAACTTAAAAAATTTCGTTCAAACCATTCTTCGAAAAAAAATTTAAAAAATATTTTGGACAATTTTTTTATTTTAAAAAATTATAGAAAAATTATTCAATTTTAATAAGAAGAAAAACAAATAAATAAAAAATACTGAAATTAAAGATTAATAAAATATTATAGAAAGAAAGAAATAAAAACTAAAACCAATTTTTTCGCGTTTTGCGGTGAATTCAAATGAATTTTTATCGTTTTTCAGATGACCTTTGACCTCATTTAATTTGTCGCTAATTCGATTGATTTTTTCCATGATTTTTTCCGACATTATTTACAACTAAAAAGAAACAATTTTAATGTTAATCGATAAGCGAAACCACTAATTCAGTTCATCGAACCTAAAATCATTTCGACACGAAATATTTGGCCAACAAAATTTCTCCACATGGCAGCCAAATCGCATCTTTCTAAACGAAAGCGATATTTAGAATTCGCCACTTTGCAGCTTTGATATCACTTCTATGTGATCGTGCTGTTTGTCAAGATGAGGGATTTCCGGGGCGATCTGTGGCTATAGAGGCGTGGTGGAAGCCCTTCCGCTTCCTTTCGATCCCCTAAGGCTGTATATTGCTATGTACCTTACTCGTTGAAGTACCATTTCAGTCCAGGTCTTCATTGATCGTCCTCGCTTTTGATGCCATTTATCATAAGAATTAGCAAACTGCTTGAAATACGTCAGTTGCAAACATGGCCTAAATCAAACGTGGGCAACGCTTTTAGAGAAGCAGTTATATCATTGCAGTTGAGCGGACGTGCGTCCAGTTCTGAGATGTTGCTAGCTCGGAAGGTATAAGGTGTACTAAGATTGGTTAAAGGTGTATAATTTCGCTATATATTCTGGTTTTGCTGGCCTTATCATAGACTGTTATCACAAACTGCTCTCTACCATGATTTTTGAAAGGGGAAAAAAAGCTGCGATTTATCATTTGATAATAGGATTGGATCTGAAATATTTTGAAACCTGTCGCTTCCATCGCTGAATAGCGAGTGCAAGAAGGCTACTTTAGCGGTCGGTCTGCCTCCACTCTTCTTATCAGTATCTGATACAAGGTATTACGGAAATTTTTATTGTTTTTTCCAAGTTCACTCGCTTTTTATAGCATTTATTTTCCTTAGCTAGCGCATCGGACTAGTTAGATTTTGTTAGGAAGTCATATGGCGATAAGAGTAAACGTAAATTGCCGGCATCACTCGTATTTTCGAAGGACGACTTTGTTCTCGCCTGGGGTAGAACTCCAGCATCGGCGCTTCGAAATGAGGGCAACAACCCACTGAGCCATTCTTCTTTACTCTTCCATTTAATTATTGTTTATTATTTCCAAGTTTCTTTTGATGAAATATTCAAATAAAAAAAATTACGAATGCATTTTGTAAGGAAACATAGGTAATTTTAAAAATAAAAACAAATTTTATTCCATATTCATATTTTTTTTTATTGAAAATTAAATTAGGAATTTCGATTATTCATAAAATTTAAAATAGTTTTTACATAAATAAAATTAAATGAAACGAAAAAAATTTACAATTCACATTATATAGCGATTTATTAATAACTCAATGAATAAATTCGAATTTTTAAATAGAACGAAGTTATCAGTCCTGAGCTTGTTTCGCATTTTTTATCACAAGAAGAACAGCAAAGGCCTAAATCTAAGCCAATTAAATAAGTTATTTTATCCATAAAAAGTTTTATTTGCATCGTCTTCATGCAGAAGATAAAAATTTTTGGAATGTTGATCATTATTGTAAAAAGTGCTATTGTTTTGCATTGGTGAAGGAGCAGCGGCACCGGTGATATTATAATGTGTTAGACGAGAAGCGGCTGGTGATCCTAGTAAACTAAAAGAAATAATATCAATCTTTGTGGCTCTTTTCCTTTGAATAGATTGATAAGATCGATAAATTAACTGATAAGATTGATAAGTTGGTAAGATTGGTAAATTAATAGTTAATTTTATTATTATGAATGCAATAATTCAATTACTGAAATATGTATATAATATTTTTTGAATGAAAATTTGGGTAAAAGAAACTCACTGTGGACCACCGGAATTTTTAGCCGTCACTTTGACTACGGGTTTTTGAAGTCGATATGGCTCACGTAAATGCTTGACACCGGAGGAAGCATGTCGCCTACGTTTTTTTTCTTTTTTTTCGAATTTTTTCTTGAATAGATAACAAAAGAAGCTAAATATGAAGAGAAAAATGCATCCGGAAAATGCAGCTGCGAAAAGAACAGTTTGAATATCAGTAGCACTTTCAAGTTTATTACCTTAAAAAGTTTTTATAAAAATTTAGCAGATTTATTTTTTATATTCATAAAAAGAAGCAAAAATTATTTAGCATAGGATTAGGATTTATTCAAGTTAATGGGCTAGACAAATTTTACCAGAGAGTCGTATGGTGATAAAAGTGAAATAGTGGATCGCCAGCAGAATTCTCGTGTACGTTTATACCTATTGGGAATAGAACCCCAGTATTGGCGCTTCGAAATGAGAGCAACGATGCACTGAGCCATTCTATCCCAAACTTAGGATTAATTGCCCAAAATAATTGCCCAATAGGAAGGTTTTCAATTTTGGATGCATTAAATTAACACCATTAATCATGTTTTTCCCTTGACAAAAATCTTATAATTTTTTTTAAATAAAAAGTTAGATTTACAATGAGCTTCATCCGTATCATCATGCAATCCACAATTTTCATCACCATTGCATCGCAAACGCGAATCAATGCATAATTTCGTATAGGTGCAAAGATAATGCGAAGGCCCCATACATTCTGCTTCATCTGTCAATTTTCAGATTTTTTATCGCTTTTATCCTTTATCGAAAATATTAACTGATAAAATAGTTTTTAATGCGCATATTAAAATTATCGCAAAGTTAGAGAAACAAGAAATTTTATTATGATTTCTTAATGATAACAAATGTTTGTATAGACTTTTCACCTATGGATTATTGGTGCCTGCATTTAATTTTGGTGCACAGCTTGAAAAAAACGTGGTTTCGCTGGACGATATTTATTTTCCATGTCTTGATGAGTAATAAGTTGTTTTTAAGCTTATTAAAACAAGTTCAAAAGTGCCAGTTTTAATCATATACGATAACTACTTTACGAAGGAGATAAATAAATTAGAAAGTAAAGTAAAGTAAAGTAAGACCAACTAGAGCAGATCATCGCATAGGCTTTTAGCTTGTCTTATTTGTTCAATTGGTGAATAAAAAAATTTATACCCTTAACAACCTTCACTTCTGTCCACGTGAAATTGAATCCTTTAAGACCGTTAACTTTATCCGGGGAAGTGAAGAAGCTAAAAAAGAATTCCTTAAGCTTCACATTAAGTGGAATTTTTTTTTAATTAGTCAAGAATTTAGCTGATGGAAAATGGATCAAAAAATCTTATAGGTTGTTTTGCAACAAAATTTTCGAGTGTCGGGGTACCAGAGTTAGAATGGCTTATTGGATTACTTTCATTTTATAGCGTCAATATTGTAGCAGAAATAAACCTGCCTTTTAAAAATACGGATAGTATTAGCAACACATTTTTCACCTCTATCGCCAAATAATTTGGCGAAATCTTTGCCCAGCGAGATGAGCCTAATCAAAAATGGTCAACACTCTTTAGGAGAAAATACCGGATATAGCGGTGAATGTTGGAAATTTAATTAATAAACAAAACTGAATGATAAAAAAATTGCCTAATTCGCATAACATTGCTTTTCGATATGATGGGACGGACAACACTTTCAACAGTTCCACAGATTTCCTTCACCTGAGACCTAGCTTTAGTGCTTGGATCAGCATTTATTCGAATAACAGCATTTTGACAGTTGATTGAATCACCATTCATTGCTCCTTCTACCTCCATTTTCACAAGACTCAAAAGTATCTAGAAAAAAAAAAATTGGCTGCCTGCAGGCATTTTTCTTCATTTTCATTCTAATCGATGAAATTCTACGTTAGGTTTCTGAAGCTTTTCTGGCTCATCACCAGTCCAGCGCTGAGTGTATTCGCCTATTTTCAAAAAGAGTACCGACAGAAAAAGCTCGAAAATGGTTTATTATCATATAATAAGGAGAAATTGTCTTTAATACCTTATAACCTTCTCTTACTACTATTTCCCAATCGCATATTAGATCCTTATTGTATTTGCCAGGATAGCCAGGTGATATAAACCAACCAGATGTTGTTTCCGGAGAACCAAATATTCTTTCTCCGCAATGTCGCGAATTTTCTAAAAACAATCCAATTGAATTATTTCATTTGATGCAATTCCTACAACAAACCATCTGAGTTAGAAAGAAAGATTAGAAATTCATAAATTTAACAACCTTGTGATGGAATCTCTTCCTTAAAAGCTTTCCGGATTTTGTACAAAGCTTTAAATCCATTGCCAGTTCCTTCGGAATCAGATCGGAAGAAAAATCGAAGTTCATTCGATCCAAATGCCGACACCGTAGGACCAGGAAAAGTGTGAGCGCAATATTTTGCTAAATTATATTTCAGTTTAGAATTTTCCATATAGTGATATAGATTGCTTTGATTATATTAACAGCTTATTTACTGATTTACTCTTGTAGTATTAAAGCGAATAATGAACTACGCTAAAGATGGATAAAATACCTTGCAAATAAGTCTCTTCCTTTCCATCTTTTTGGAAAACATCAAATATTTCTAAGAAATCGCGGCATCTAAAAATAAAATTATTAAATATAGAAATATTATAAAACTGGCAAGATTTCTTTTGAATAAAATATAAATAAAACAAAACTTCAGAAAATTTTTATTTCTCCAGGACTCCTTTAAAAACTTAAAAAATATTCTTCGCGACTCCTTTATGTCCTTAAAAAAGTAATGATGATTCCTATGCTTCCAGAATCCCTCAAATAATGTTGAGAACACTCATACCCTTCGGGCTTCTTTATATTGCCATAGTATTTTTATCGATATTTATTATATTAAAAATTTTTAGAATAATTAAACCATTTAAAAATGAAATTAAATATTGGTACGCATAGCATATTTTTATTGAAAAGTAATATTTTTATTTTTGTACTGATTTTTTATTTTTCATATTTTATGTATTTATATTCTTATATTGTTTTTTGCAAAAATAGTAGTATTTTTTCTGCAAAAAAATTTAGTGAAATGAGTGGAATTGCTCCACTCTTTTCTTCATCTTCATGACACTCTCTTCATGTTCAATAATGTTGAAACGGTAAAAGCAAAAGTTTTAGCAATATTATGAAAATAGCTTCGATCCTGTGGAACCTCTGGAATAGTCCTAAGGATCTTAGTTTGTAGAACAAGAAATTATTTATTGGAAGTCTTGTTTTTTTCATATTTAAACCGCGAACTAATCAATCGCTATAAATTTTGCTTTAAAAGAAGCCTAATAATTATTCCAAAAAATAAATGAATTTACTTCTCATCCATTAATGATCCTTCGGCATTATAAAGAGCAAATTGCTCAAAATACACTTGAATTTGTTGACCAGGCTTAGCTCGTATTGTATAAGTACAGTTCGTATCGAGTGGGTACTAAATATTCAGGCAATGGATGAAATTTTAATATTGTAGCTAAATTTTCACTTAGGCCTACTTTTGGAGACGTCTGTTTTTATAAAGTGGACCACCTGTGACTTGAGCATATGGCAAATAATTTTGCGTAGCGAGGTATCTTATGACAAACGGAATTATAATAAATTATTTCATTTAATGGCGCATTATACTGGAATGATGTCTTCCATAAAATAATATGCTTAAAATTTCAGATTTGATTTTAAGAAATTCAGTCAAAAAAAAAGCAATAAAAAATCGAATATTTCCTAGGACTAAAAATTCATACATTGGCTGGATATCGTGGACTGTTAAAAGAGCCCAGAGGCTTAGTAAACATAAATGCGCACTTATTTGAATCGCCAATAGGTTCTCCTGGTATACCGAAATCTAAATTATATAAAATAAATAAATTATATAAATTTAATTTCTAGATTTCTTAATTAATTATATATGAATAATAAATTATTGCTATTACTACTATTACTACTAGCAATGGAGTCGGGCCGGTCAGCTTGGAGACTCTTATTCTTGTAGCCAGCGGAGCCAGCCTAATCAGTAATGGTGAGAGCTGTTAGAAGAAGAAGAATAATAATAAATATATGAATAAAATAATTAAATGATTCACCTGTTTTAAAATCGATTCTTGCACGAAAACCGAATGGGCTTAGACCATCAGGAGTCACCTTATCATATGAACTGAAAACCAATACCATTCGAGGTCCTTCACTCACATACGGACCCAATGAACCTGAAAGAATCCATTGATTTATTGACGTACCGACGAAGCCTATTGTTCAATTCGAAGCAATCTGGTTGGTTACATTGTCATTTTAATTACCATTATTCTACTCCTCGTAGAAGTGAACTTGTCTTTTAATACATCCTATCTGCTGTTCTATTCTCCCGAATGGTTATCTGGCAAAGGTTTCTAAATGTACCAACAATCAGTTGGGCGAGCCTAACTAGAAATGGTGAATTTCAACCACTAATTTATTATTGCTTTTCCGGATTTAAAAATGGAATATTATTATTTCCTATAAGATACATAAAAAAACATTTTAGAAATTTGAAAAAAAGTGCTAACGGTCTGCAATTCGATCACATATCGTCGAATCGTACAAACTTTCTTCACTAGAATCCAAAACTCTTCTGATCGTTGCTATATGAGTAGCGATTCCTACATAAGCTGTGGCACAGACTTCTTCTTCATGTTCTGTGTGTGTTGCTGATGTTGTAGTGCTAAATTATTAAATTTGAAACTTATTAGCAAAATTGGTAATTTTGTTTCTTAGAATCTCCCATCTTCCCTCCCTTCCTCTCTCTTCAAATTCACCAAATCACCGTAATCCACCAATTTATTTTATTTTTTTTTAAATATTAACCTGATAGGTATTTCTGAGAAGACTGCGAATTTCTCAAAGTTCAATATAGCCCTCTCAAGATTTTGCTCACCTTGCAAACCATCAATTATATATGTACACGTCGTATTTGGTGGATAAAGATTAGGATACTGCAAAAAGCAATAAGAAATTAGATAAAATTATCTTGATAAGAATTATCGAGTGAATTAAAGTACTGCCATTCTTCAAATTTTTGCAGATAAAAAATGAACTTCACCTCGGCATAAAATTATAACATTTTTTATCAAGCATATGGCTATGTTAACAATTGATGAAATTAGGCATCAACTTTAAGTAGCACCTTTGGTGACTTGATGTAGTGTGTTGTTTCGCGGTTACTCTCGACTCGTACGTCACATTCTGATCCACGCAAATGGGTGACTCCTTTTTGATTATCGAGAAGCTCAACAACATCAACATATCGAAATGAGAATTCGTAATCAATCATATAACTAGAAAATAATCTTATCAGAAGCCATAATCACAAAAGAAAATCACAATAAGATATTAAATTTGGAAAATTTTGAAAAAAAAAGATCGATTTACCCTCGTGGATCAGCTTTAGGTGGACTCGATGTATTGAATTCGATAAAGGCATTCGGACCCAATGTATAAATTTCCACTCGTTGCTGCAAGCCGCAAACCTTTTTTATGATTGGGTCCTTATTCGTTGCACCGTCATAAACAGTTAACGAATCATAAGGACAGCTAAAATTTTGCACAATAATTTTAAAATCTTTAGTTACAAAATTTCAAATCGACGGTATTTAATTATTAATTTATTCGAAATATACAAAAATAAATAAATAGGAGTGGGATTTGGATGGGACTTGTTTAAACCGAATTCTTGAATCAATTCATTAGTTATACTGAAATAAACTGTAAGCTGTGTGATAAATTTTTGGCCAAGTAGACTATAAAAATGATAAAAGCAAATGAATATTCGAAAAAACTAACTGCTCCCCTCCAAAATAAATGTCAAAATCGCGAAAAAATAATCGAATACGTTGACCCGGTTTACCATTGAGCAAATATGTACAGTGAAAGTTCTAAAAGAAATATTTTTGTTTTAACTTCTGTATCAGTAGAAATATGTAAAAAAAGAATTTCAGGTGTTTCTAACATTTCGCAAATAATTTATGTTTCTTAGTTTATTACCTTATTTTTGCAGGCATAAACGTTAAAGACTAATGCGCCTAGGGGAGAAATCATATATTTTCTAAAAATTCTCCTTATCAACAACTGATAAAAGCTTACTTTAGGATATGTTCCTGGATACGTCGGTGATAAAATAGTTCCATGCTTCCTGAAAAAGTTGCGTAACTCAGCAACTGATTAGCAATTCAATAATTGATTAGTTAACGATGATATGCCACAAACTAGAAAAAAATTCCATAATTTTAAGAATACCTAAATTTTGCATCAATAATGAATCCACATTTCTCTGGATATATTTGATGACCAACATTATATTGAGCTGAAATATGATGATTTTGCGATTTTTCGAATTTTTTGTTCAAGAAATCTGAAGATTTTGAGGTTTCATATTTCAACTTTAGCAAATCCTATCTTGAAATTTTTGCACAAGTGTTTTTTTCTTTTGTTATCCAATCTATAGGCGGTTAATAATTTTTAAATGATTGCTAACATAGAAAATCAAAATAATAACTGACCGTCGGAGAAAAAGGTGTATCTTCCCTGAAATTTTAATGGAGTAGTTCGATTGAAAGATGAACGTGAATGAAATACGAGAACAATAACTTGGTGCAAGCTAAAATTTGATTTCTCCCATTCCAGTAAGTATTTTAACATAGATTAGCAAAAAAAATTCAAGAGAAAGAACAAATCGTTAGCCATCAAAACGAAACTTAGAAATTTTTATTGATTTTTAGCTACTGATTAGTTTATCAGTCATTTTTTTTTCGTTAAATTATTTGTCGCTGAGTTTTATCAGCAGAAATTTTATCGGATCAGCAGAAATTTTAACGGATAAGAATCGCAATGAACATCCTAGTGAATTCATAAAAAGGAGTGACTGTTATTTTTAGATATGGCAATAGATCGAGCAGTATGGAAAATATATTATCCTTGTAATTAGTGGAGTCAGTCTAACCAGTAATGATGTGTTGGAAGAAGAATATTTGCTTTAATTCTATATTTATAGGATATTCACCTGATTCGAACATATGGAGAAACGCTACCGCAATAACGGCCACCAAATGACGAAGAAAGGAGATCATCATCTGGACTTTCCAATTCAGAGTATACATCAACATACTCGGTTTCACAACTGCAATCCGTATCGTATAAACTTTTTATTTTAGAAAATATAATTTAAAATTGTATCGCATAAAACAGTTTAAAATTATAAACAAATATCAGTAAACTGAAAAAGGACTTGAAAGAAAGTAAAAATCCTTACTACCATGAAAAATGAAAGAATTGGCACGGACAAGAATATTTGGCTACCTTTCAGCTGTGCTGGCCAATTGGAATTGATCAAAATTAAGCTTCACACGTTGCCTCGGCCCCGCGATAAACGTGTATATACACTGAAATTTGCTTTTAATTTTAACCTGATTTGTTCTATTATTTTTTTTCATTACTATTTTAAAATTTAAAGAATATTTTGTAAATTAAAAATTTACTGAATAACTGAAAATAACTGAAAATTTTTAGCAACTATTCTCCGAACCAGAAAATAATTTTACCCTAAAAAAAAATCACCTAAATTGATAAAATAAACGTTGAAAAGTTGGCTCTATCCATGCCAAAATTGATCTCAAATTTTTTTCCAAATAATAATTATTAAAATTGATCGAAATTAAAATATATCGTTTTTTAAAATTTGAGAGCAATCGGAAAATATTGCATTTTTTGCTATTTTTCCTCTTACTTGCATATTTTTGAACGTATAGGATGGGAATTTTTGTTCAATATCGCCTGCAGGTGAAGGTAAGATGGGGAGTCTGAATTCTCCTTCTGGTTTTGATGAATCGAAAATATGATCACATTCTATAAAATTTCTAGCATATTATTTATATGTTTTTGTTATGTTGTACAGTGATTGCTCGTGTCACAACCTAGTACTCGACTTTTATTTAGTAGTTTTTCCTTTAGAAAAAGAAGAAACTAGGTGGCTGATAGACATAATTTTTGGTGGGGCTTACTCGACTACCGATTAATATAATATGAAATTTTTGCCTCTAGTGGGCTAATTGCTGGCAAAAGTGTAGGTGAATCTATCCGAAATTCCTAATAACAAGCTTTTTTTTGGTTGGGAGAATTCGAACTACTTATTCTAATCTGAGCAACCCATAAGCCATCGAATAATCGCAATAAGTCGAGTTTGAGTCAGAAATTCAAGAATAGGAAGGGTTTATTATTTAGAAAAGCATAAATTTCAATAAAATTTCTGAATTTTTTTTTTCCAATCATTAATTATTCTTATTATTTATTATTATTGATCTTGGCAAATATAAAAGAATATCGAAGAGATTTCTTAAACATGGCTTTTATAAATTTTATGCCATTCATAAACCATTCTAAATCGCTAAATCGCATGCGGAGATTGTTCTAATTTATAAGAATTTATAAGAGTTTCTAATTTATAAGAATATTTTAATTCCTAAAAATTTGCCATTTTTTTAAAATCAATTCCACAATATGTCAGTGATTATTTTATGAAATTTCAAAAATTCAACGTAAAGTTTATCATAGTTATTGAAGAAAAAAAATATGCAACTGAATTTGATAGGTTTATTTTAGTTGGATTTATAAATTTTTTTTACTAAACCTTTCTCAGTTGAATTCACATAAGTATTAAAAAATATCAACGATCGCCAGTTATTTGCAAAATTTTATATTATATTGCCTCTTCAATCAAGATAATTTCCTTTTGAATTCGTTTTTCTAGACTCGAATTCTCAAGGCTCCAAATTTTAGCAAATGAAATATTAAACAGCCTGATGAATGGAAACAGTAGATGAAATAAGTTAAGCTATCTTATCTTAAGCTTTTAGAAGATTAAAAATGATTCTGATTCTAAAATAATAATAATTTATAAACAAAAAAAAAATTTTTTGCTTGAGGTTTTGAAGCAATCCATTATTTACATTAACTCTTTCCAGCTTTTTAGCTATATTTTTTATTTAAAAAATTTTTTAATCCCAGAATCAGACTTTTATCTCTTTTAAAAGCAAAGTTTCCGGAAAGAAAATGTGATCCTCCGAGCATTAAAAATGACCTTTTTAATTGATAATAAGCACCAATCTTTTCTGAGAAAAATATAAAAATTTTTCTATTTTTCTAATTTTTATATCTTATTTTTCATATTGAAATTTTTACCATACTAAAATTTTAAATTTCAACTCCAACAGATTTTTGCTATTTCACCTAATGGTTTCAAAAAAATTCACAGAATCGGTAACAAAATCACCAAAAACACCATTACTTCACTTCTTTTCTTTATCGTGTTGTGAAATTCATATCGTGGATACAAAATTCAAGGAAAATAAGGATGCGATTTTAGATCGAAAAAAACTTACTCTTCGTATTGTAATACACCTTTTAGCCAGAATAACATAATTAGTACCAATAGGCAGGCGATAACGAATGTAAATAAAATAGCAAAAATGATATCGCAATCGAGACTCCGACAAAATGAGCAGTCTTCTTTGACTTCGGTTGCTTTTTCGAAATCTAACATATCGATGCGGGTCTCGACAACCCTTTCTAGGGTTCTCATGCGATTCATTGCTAACAGCCAGGTCTGCTTTTGTAAAACTGGCAAAATTTCTGCGAAATAAATTCTTTTTGTTAATTAAAATTAAAATTAAAGTTTCGTTGATTTTATTGAACGCACCAATCGTAATTGTATCGTTGCACAACACTATTGTTCAAGAAATAATATAATGTGAAATAAATCTGGAACGTTTGTTAATTACAGTCAACTCTGTAACAAAAAATCACTGAGTAAATAAAAGCGAAGATCTAAAATTTCGACTTCTTTTACTATTTGTGGTTAGGCTCATTTCGTTAGCTTGTTGGACAAACAATTTTTCTAGGGAATCATTTGGTTACAGGTGGACCGATAGCATTCAGACAGGTTTGCTCGTGTCGAAACTTCATCATTGGCGCTCCGATGAGAAAAAATTCTCCCTAATTTAAATTGCACAATTAATAAAGGAATAGAAAGAGTGAATCGAATCGAAACTGCTCCTTTTTGTTGCGATAAAAAAATAATTTTTTTTGTGGATATATTTTGAGAAAAGAAACGAGAAATAAAGTAAGAGAAAGATTATTATTGAAATTATTAAAAATTATTAAAGAAAAATTTGCAAAATTGAAAGAACTTTATGAAAAAATGGTGAAAAAAAAATATATAACCAATGTTTGCAGCAAAATATTCAGCAAAAATTATTTCAAAGGGCTGTTTAGTTGATTTTTTTTATTTAATAGATTTCTTATCAGCTAAAATAAGAAAGAAAAATTTTCTGCGACTTCAAAGCCTAATTTATAATGCCACTAGACTGTTGTGCAAAAAATATATTGAAGATTAGAAAATTTTTCTAAAAAACTCAAAAAAATGGAAAAATAAGCAGAAAATTTAAAAAATTTCAAAAAATCCATCTCATTTTTCATTTTTGAAAATTTATTTTTTAAATTTTTTCCATCGATTTTCCATATTTCTGGGAATAATTAATATAACTTATAAGTGAAAAAATTGCAAAAAAAAGATTTACGTTGCAAAATCGTGCAAATTTTAAATCTCTTCGAATCACCGAAGAAAGAAGCTAAAACGCTAAAATTTTCGGAAATGAATATAATTCGCGTTGTTAATGTGTAATACAAACATAGATTAAAGCTAATAGGATCAAAAATCCAGATTCCACTTCAGTTATTGTTTATCTATGAATTTTAAAACAAATAATCGTTATAAGATGCTACTTAATGGCCCATCGCCGATAAATGACCTCGTAATATTTCATAATTTTATTTGCTTTTCTGATTTTAAATATATAAATAAAAATAATAAAATATATCAAAATAAATACTTTATTAAAATTTTTATAATACGAGTTGAAAAATTTTAATACGAGTTGAAAAATTTTTATAATAAATAATCCATTAAAATTAATGAAATATTTTAATAAAAATATTTAAAAATTTCTAAAATTTTTCAACTCGTATTAGAAAACATATCTAAATTTCTAAATTTTTATTTATAAGAAATATCGATAATAGAAAATTTTATTTTAGCCTAATAAATGGAGAAATGACGAATAAAAATAAATGAAATTATTTGAACAAAAAAAATAAGTGAGTAAATATATATTTTAAATAGTTTATTTATTAAATTTTTTTTTCTTTACTTTCATAATTTGCGAACGAAATTTGCGAAAAATTCTTAAAAATCTAAAAAAATGAACTAATTTAACTTTTTTACCTATAAAAAAAATAGAATATGATTTAATTGAACTTAAAGACTTATTAAAGATTTATGAAAGCTTTCTCAAACTATTTAATCATAAATGAATTTTGTGAATATTCAAAAAAATTTTGAATATAAAGTGATGAAGGCAAAATATTAAAATTTTGATAATTATTGATATATTGATAACTATGATACGGTTTTCTGGTTAGGATGATAACGCTTATTTGTCAAAGTAAGCAAGAGAGAGTATTTAACAATAGAAGCATGAACGATCACTATCCGGAATTTTAAAAAATAAATTTTCTCCTTCACAAATAGAATCTTAGAATCATTAGCATCCCGAAATGGTAACAATCCACTGAATCGCACATTATTATTATATCAAATAAATTTTAATATTTTAATAATATTTTAATATAATAATAATTTTATATTCAAAATTTATTTTATATTCAAAATTTTATATTCAAAATTTTTTTGAATATTCACAAGATTTTCAATTGAATACTTGAAAAATATTCATTTTCATAAGAAACTTTTTCAAGACATATATATAAAGTAAAGTTTATAAGTAAAGTTAGATAAGGTTTTTGACTTTTAATTTTTAGATCGATTTTTGAAAAGAAAAAGGCAATTTTAAACGATCATCGTCCTATCTATGTTAATAATGAATGTCTCAACGGCGAGAATTTCCTTATCGTTATACTCAAGAGAATCCTTCGAACATATCACTTAATGATGCATTTTATTAGAACAACTTTTTAACCCTTATTTGTAGCATTGATATTAAAACAATAAAATATCTCTTTCTTTTATGATATCTCATTATCACTTTGTTTTTATGCAGAAAGGCAAATAATTTACATGGAAAATAATTCGGAAAAAAAAACAATTACCATAAATTTTATGTGCGCTAAATAATTGATTAAAATATTAGTGCCCAAAATAAATATATCTATTTAAATAAAATAATTATTATATAAAAATATATTATTTTTGCCAAACAATACTATTTAAGTACTATCTACTATACATTAAAATTGCTCATAAAATTCTTAGAAATCTCTAAAAAAAATATACTCTAATATACAAGTGCAAAATTTATCAAATAATTATAAATTCTATAAATCATAATTTTCCTCATCTCTTTTGGTTAGGTTTATTCCGCTGGCCCGTCGAATTAGGCAAATTTTTCTGGAACAAATATTAGAACTACAAGAAAATTACCACGAATCATAAGCAGTGCCCGAATTTTTGAAAGGATGACTTAGAGCCCCAAAATAGGTGCTATATAAGAGCAACAACTTACTAAACCGCTATCGCGATGATCAATAATAACTTAAAAATTTTTAAAAAACAACCATTATTTTAAATTTAAATTTTTTAAATTTTTATAAAAATTTCTATAAATTTAAATTTTTATAAAAATGAATTTAAAATTAAATTTAAATTTAAATAAATGCTTAATCAATAAGTGGAAATGGAAAATTTTTGCCAACGATGTGCAAGGCTAATATTCGTTTCAGATATGCACCATCAATTACCACTTAATATGATCTCATATGATCTTTTTTTTTGTAAATCCACTGGGAATGATAAGTAAGCATCGTTAATATTCTACGCTGCAATACATTCCATTTCTATCGAATTATAGGAGAAATTTGCTTTTTGCATAACTTTAAACATTTTTTTTTCGAAATTATGCGTGGTGGGTCCACGAATAATTTCACAGTAAATAAATCTCAAAAATTTTCGCAAAAATTTTTATGAATTTTAAAAGCCACAAAAATAATAAAAATATATTATAGCGAAGTTTAAACTGGAAATTCATATAATTTGCAGTTATTTTTTACTAAATTTACGTTAATATATTTAACATAAATGGTTTAGTGAATTTCAATTTCGAGAAATACTCAATTTTCACAAAAATAAGTATTGCTAACAATAAGTTGGCATCGCAGTTGTTGCATTCGTTTTAAGAATATTAGAATATTTTGTTGATTTATGTTAAATATCAAGAATGTCACAATTCGATATGGAATTGTGATGTTAGTTGAAACAAAAGAAACAAATGATTAGAAGTGTTGATAATGATAATGTATAATGATCGCCAATTTCTTTACACTATTTATAAAAATTTGTATTTTTTATTATTAATCAAGCAAACTTTTAAATAAATAAGTAAATAGGTAGCTTAGGTAACAAGTAGGTAGCTTGTAAATAAGTGAATTGAATATTTTGTTGCCCAAAACTTATGAAAATATGCAAAAGGTAGGTTTTGTAGAAAACCGCATGCGACTTCCAACAACGCTTTTGTAAACCACTGTATTAGAGAATAAATTTTAAGTTTACTGTAAGAAAAAGTACGGAAGAACGATGTTGAAATTCCACTTTTTAACTAATTTCAAAAGAAATAAGGACGAAATCTCCTCACATTAGCCTGCTTGCAGTTTAAATTTTATAATTTTTATCTTTTCTTGTATATAATTTTTTATAAGAAATAGTTCAAATTATATTTATTGATACGCTTTTCATGAATTTCTTTCTTTCTTATAGTTCATGAAATTCAAAACTTTTTTTCTCCACCAGTATTTTTTTAAAAAAATGGAAAAATTTTTCTTTAACGAAATAATAACGAAAATTTATTCTCGTATAAATTGAAAGAAGATAGAAATTACAATTATAAAATTCCCTGCATTTATGATTGAAAATTAATTTTATGATAAAAAATTAAGAATTCTTTACCCGTTTATATTTTATATTTTACCTACTATTCTTTGCAGAAAAACCGAAAATGTAGATAATTAGTAAATGGGAAAAATTAACTCTTCTACCTATTATGGACTTGTACTATTATTTTTAATAAAGTTTTTAAATGATTTTTTTTTATTTTACAAATATCAAATAGTATTTAAAAGGAAATATAACCATGAAATGAAAAAGGAATTTTTCGAAATTTCACCTAATCCAAGGATTATAAATAAGTCATTTGATTCTTGAAATATTAGGGATTTTATATTTATTCGAACTCCCACCAATTTTCAACTGCAAAACACACACATTCGATGACGATATTTTAGATAATTTGAGCAAAATTGTTATATATTTTTTTCAAGTTCAAAAAATTTATGTTAAAATATAAATATACAATGAAATATAAAAATAAATAAAATATAAAATATAAATATACAATGAAAATAAAGAAATAACTATGCATAAAAAATATGTACATAGATTCAGAATATCCATTCTTTCGATTAAGATTAAGTTATCATAGGTTCTTGCTTCTTGATCAGATTTCATTGGAAAGATGGCTAACT